TCAATTTTGATCAGATCAAGTGAAGATTTTTTTATTTTTTTTATTTCACTTAATTTTGTAGTTTATACATGTTTGAAACTGAAATGAGTACCAATGTGTGGAAAAAATTATATTAGTTGTGGGGGCTATATTAATAGTAAGATAAGTGTGATTAGTAGCCTTAATTATTGGGACATGTGGGGTGGAACTGACTGGTGCAGCCACAGCTGCTCCATAATTAGCCACAAAAACAAGTTGTGGTGCAAAACAACTTACTACTGTAATATGAAATTGCTAAATATATTGATCATGAATATGGTCCATATATTTATTTGAGTCTACTTGAAAAATATTTTCTTTAGTCAATTTCCAATTGGATATTTTCTTGGATGTGTGGGGCTGAATGCTTGACACTGAGCACATAACAGAAGCAATTGAATTAATTGACAGCCGAGTAACAATTAAATTAAAAGTTCAAAATATTTCATTGAATTAGAAGTTTGTACAATAATGTTTGATAAATAATTAATTATATATGTTTAAATATAGCTAACATTGATTTAAAAGAGCCCCTACTGAGTTTATTCGAGATTAATATTTTGATATAAAAAAAAAATTAAAACCGCAATTCAAGAAACAATAACATTAGAGATTATATTGAGTCAAATCTATATTTCATAAAACGCTTATTACAACAACTCAAACAATCATTTATATTGATGTTTTCATTGAATTTTTTTTTACGGTTGAATCGATACACACTTATTTGTGAGTGTGAATGTGTGTGATTAAATGGTAAATGCCCACATCAGTGTGAGATTGAACTCACCATATATACATATTAGCATTCATATAAATTATTGAAATAGTTAGAACAATTTATAGTGGAGAGCAAATTTAGCATCCCAACTTTATTTCATGAGTGATGAACCAACTTTAAATGACCATACTTTGCCATAATAAGTCATTCCTCAATACATATGAACTTATTCTATTGCCTCCAATTTAGGGAAGTTAGGTGATTTTAGGTGACAGTTTTAAAACTTAAGGCACACGATTTGAACTACTTCCACCAAACTAGCGGGAATTTACCCAATACATTTATTGTTTCACCCATGTGTTAAATGTGATCAACTATCCATTAAATGTGTGCTGTCAAAATGATTTTTTCTTGGAAAATTCCATCTTGCAATCTCAGAATTCATCACCACACGGTCAAATTGTGAGTGTGCCACGTATGCAATCAATAAAATTTAGAAAACTAGAAAAGTATCTAAAATTGGAAGAGAAATATCTGTTCGTCCAACGTTTCATTCACACAAAGATAGAAGATATGTGAAAATAAAAGGAAGAAAAAGAAACTTAAATTAACCAATTTAGTTGCTAAATTGGTTTAAGACTGGGTTCTGGGGCAATTTCTAATCGGGCCCACTTCTCATAATTCACGTATTGGGTCCAACGGGCCAAAGCCCATCATCCAAGGTCCAAAAATCAAGAGGCCAATTTCAGTCATGAACCTTTAATGCCTGGGAAATCGCTTCCTTGTCGTATCTATCTGACCATCTTTCTCTCCCATAGTCCCATGGAAGCAGTTTCGAGTTCAGCTCTGCAAATACAGAGATTCAAAGAGAATTCCTTGCTAATCCACACTCCCAAAACGAGCAACAAGCATTGTGCTTTACTGAGAGTCGGTCCGAGTCTGTGCAATACGCCGTACTTGCGCGTATCGCGGGTTTCAGCCCTCGCGCATGAGGTACCAGATGAGGACAGCGGCAAGGAGGGTTCTCGATTGAACAACGATAATGGGGTTCTGGGTTTGGTTCCTGAAGAAATTACATTGTTATCTGAGGTAAAATGAAGGAGGAATTTGTTTTTTTTAGTTATTTTCTCTTTTCGCAATTTGATCTTTCAATTTCATGGCTTTCCCCATCTTTTCGTGTTTATTGTTCTGTTTTATTTTCATTTTGTAGTCGAAATTGTTGTTGGGGAGCTGAGTTTTAGTCATTTCGAAGTTTAAAATGTATAAATATTCAGTCTTTTTGTTCGAGGCTCGTATCTACGCATTAGTTTATATTTCTAATATGTTTTGATCTTTTATCTTCTGTGGAGTTCGTATTGTTTGTGTTGTTTTCTGGAGCTGCAGTCTATGGCTATTCGATCCTTTTGCTTTCAAATATTTGTAGGATTCATGTCGAGTTTGTGCACTTAGTGGAATATTGTTTTGTATATATTCTCAAATGTAACACCTTTATTATAAGCTAAAAGCGTAAATCCAAGTTGTTTTCTTCTAAGGATGGCATGGTTGGATAAATTTAAGTGCCTAACGTTTGGTCTGGTTAAGCTAGTTAAATATGCTTTAAACACGTTATTAATTGACAAATATTAAGCTAACACTTGACTTTATGTTAGTTTTTTGATATATACGAGCTTCAGATCAAGTTCAGGCAACAAGGTCATTTAACCTTAGCGTATGGCAATACAGTACAAAGCAATGTTATTGTGTTTTATATCTAATATTGTAATGTATTGCAGTAAATCATTCATTTGAAGGCTAAAAAATTCATTCCGCTCGACATAAACATGTCCCTGTTTCTCATTTCACAAATTAGTGTTAAATGTAGTCAAAGATCCTCCGGCATTATAAGTTAGACATCTCCTTTTATCATATAGTCCGTCAATGGATATTTCAAATGGCTTGTTCGGCTTTGTTGTGATGGCGTCTCTCATATCCTGAAGGGTGATACAGACGTAACAGACCTCAAACAGAGTAGTGAAAAGGATGTAAAATTCACTTCACCGCAATTTATGGTCTCGTATGGAAACATAAGTGGAGGAGGCACAAGAGCTGGGCTTTTCAGAACACCCATATCTGGTGGAGTGCAGAGTGCAACATCTGCTCATGGCTTACCTAGACCAGCCTTAGCTGTTAGGAATCTAATGGAACAGGTAACTGTCTTTCCTTTTTATTTCCCTACTAACTGTTTACATGTTTGTTTAACTAGTTGTTTGAATCTCAGAACTTACTAAACATATTCTAACATGTACGATGGACTTACTTTATTTGGCTGCATTTTGATATGGGAAGGCTAGATTTGCTCACCTGTGTACTGTGATGTCACGTATGCACCACCGTCGAGAAGGTTATCCGTTTGGTTCACTTGTAGATTTTGCTCCGGATTCTCTCGGACGTAAGTTCACTTTGGTACTAAGTCTTTGATGGATATTATTTTTCTTCTACAATGTGAATTTATGCTGTGTCATGTTCCATGGAAAATAAATTGTTCCTTCTTTTTGGAGTAATAGACGCTAATAGTTCACTGACACTGTAATTTCCAGCTTAATGTCTGGTAGAATCTTTTCACTATTTTCTGGCTGAAGTACCAATGTTCAATCATATTTCAGGTAAATTGGTTCGACGTTGCTCATAATTGTCTTGGAATGAAAGTTGGCAAGATTTATTCCATGATTGCATTAGTCAATTTTTTTTTTTTTTCCTTTACCCTGAGAAAGCTATCAATCATATGTCACGTTCCAAGTTGTCATCAGAGTTTCTTTTTTGCTGTACATATGCTTCTGCATAGGTAAAAGCCATTGAAAGGATGTATTCTGGAACAAAGACCCATAAAAACTTAATGAACGCTGAACACTACGTGTGTGCTGCATGTTCATATGACATATCAACGTACAAGTACGTAAAATTAACCAAGACCTCAACAATTATTTTTTGGCATTTTTGTTTGCAGATCCAATTTTTTCGTTCTCGCCATTGGCTATACACACTAGGAACTTGTTAGCGGATCCAAGATGCACCTTAGTTGTACAGGTTTAGCCACTTACATTTGAAAGTACTTGATGCATCTTGTTGCTGTTTTTTTCTTCAATTCTTGAACATTTGATGAAAGATATGAACACTCATTAGATTCCTGGATGGAGTGGCTTGTCAAATGCACGAGTGACAATCTTTGGCGATATATACCCCCTTCCTGAAGACAAGCAGGTGACCTATTTAATTTTAACTGTTGATTAAACTTGTGATTTTCTCTTCGGAGGCCATGGGGGTTAGTCAAAGCTTGTCATTTCACTTGAGATCAAAAGTTGCAGGGAACCTTTTTGAGGAGAACCTATTTGGTTGCAGCTAAAAAGTAAAAAAAAAAAACCAAAAAAAAAAAAACAGATCATATTTTAATGATGGAAAGTGAATATTGGCTGTCCTTATGATCATTATACCTCATTGTGCGGCCAGGAGTGGGCTCATAAACAGTACATAGCAAAACACCACCAAGGACCTTCTCAGCAGTGGGGAAATTTCTACTACTTCCGCATGCAGAACATAAGGTCTTACCTTCTTTCCTTTAATTTTTTCTTTTGGGAAATAAATGATCTTGTTTGCTCTCTGAGTCCCACCAGCCTGTAACATTTAGCATTTTGTGAGCATGTGCAAATGGAAATGTAATGCTTAAGAAGTATTCATCCACAGGCAATTGCCATGATTGGTGAATAGAGAATTATATAACAACACAAAGTCTTATTTAAAAACTGCTAGTGTTTGGTTTATGATGGCTCAAAATGCCTCACCCCCTAAATTTAGATGCTAGATGGTTGTTTACTATTTTTCTTATCAGACAAAGAGACATTGTTGAGAATTCTGGATATCTCAGCTGCTGTACTGTAGATAGAATTTTCCTAATTGTACTGCAAAGGAAAATATTAAAAAATAAAAGAAAAAAATGGATCTCGCTAATACCATCCACAGCTTAATCTGTGCTTTTTATTAGAGGGTGCTGCAATTATCTGTCCAAAATCGTTTGAGTGTTCAATGACTAATGCATGTACTGTATTGATTCCATGCTGATCAGACAAATAGCTGTAATTATTGCACGGAAATTAATTGGACAGTTCAATGTTACTTTGGCAGTGATATATATTTTATTGGAGGCTTTGGGACTGTTGCTTGGGTTGATGTTAATGAATATGAAACCATTCAACCCGATAAGATTGCCGTTGATGGGGGTGAACAGAATTTAAAGGTTGCTTAATATATCGATCTATGCTTCCACCTGATGTTTTCTTCTTGTATATTGCTCTTACTCTGTTCATATGCTGTTATTAAAGGAACTAAATGCGCTATTTTCAAAGCCTCTGAAAGAGCTTTTGTCCAAGGAAGCTGAGGTAGATGATGCTGCTCTAATATCCATAGACAGTAAAGGAGTTGATGTTCGGGCTCGCCAAGGCGTCCAGGTTTTTCTTTGACACTTTAAAAGTAGTAGTAG